TGCACGCCAGGTACCCCGGGTCCCGGCTGCCCCGAGCAGGCAGGGGCTGTGCCCACCCGGCTGCCCCCCCGGGGATTAGATGCGAGTACAAAGGGGAGAGGAAAAGAGATTTCATGTTCCTCTTTCCTCCAGTTCGGGGGTGGTGGGTTGGGCAACGTGCTGGCTGTACCCCTCCCAGAAAAAAACAAAAGGCTCCAGCTTGGCCACTGCACTCAGCCCAGAGGCTGCTCTGCCAGCACCCAGGGTCCTGCATCCTGAGGATGGGCTGCACAGGAGCAAAAAGCAGACATCACCACTTCTCAAGGGGGAGGGAGTCTCCTCTGCTGGGAGTCAAAGCTACTAACGGGTTGAGGAGACCTGGGGAGAACCCTGGGAGATGCCTGCCCTTCTCTGTGCCAGAGGCGTTCCGAAGGAGCTCAGAAACAAGAGAATCAGTGCAGAGTTTGCTCTGAAGAGAAATCTGATTGCCTTGTCCTCAGTGCTCTGAGGTAACGCTGCCCCAGATGCGGCTCTCGGAGGAGCGATAGCACAATCTGGGTCAGAAGGCCTGAAAACAGAGCTATTATCCAGCACAGCAGTGAGAATAATTGTAGGAGGGAAAATATAATTATGCTGAGGTGGAATCTGACTGCTACACACCAGATTTTAGGGTGATTTTTCAGGAGAGCTGCCCTCTCAGCCAGTGCAGGCTTGCCTTTAGTACACAGATGTCCTGCCTTGCTCTGGACACCAAGATCTACCCAAATTGCCCAGTCCCTAATGAGTTACCTTTTGACTCTAAAATAAAATAGCTGCTGTATAGACAGGGCAGATGATAAATCCCAGTCCTACACAGATGGGAGTGGTGCTCCTGTAGCCCTCCTTCCCAGAGCTGTTTGCTTGCCTGGCTGCTCTCAACACCAACAGCTCCTTGAAAACACTTTGTGGTCAGAGACCTAGATTTTCTTTGAATCTGGAGGAAATACAGCCCAGGACTCAGCAGGGAAGGTCTTGGAGAATGACAGCAAGAGGGAGAGCCAGAAAGCATCACAAAGGTTGCAGTAAAATTTGCCAATTTATTTACCCAGGCAGGCAATCATTACATTGCTGGCTCTATAATTGCCCCCCAAAGCCCTGGGCAAGTTTTGCAAACACGGTAGCTGGTCACTTCCCCTCCCTGCCCCACATCACTTACATTTTTCTATCTGAAATTGGAGCACACGCAACAGATTTTTTTTTCTTGAGATGGCAGGGGAGCAAAAGCAGATTCATTTGGGCCCTAAACTACATTTCTTTAAGTAGCAGTGTAGGGTTTTTTTTTTCAATCCGTATGATTTCACTCAGGACTTTTTAAGGAGCCGGGTGTCCCTGCAGAGCAGGGCCTGCTGCTGCCTGGATTGTGCAACCAGGATTCCAACATGCTTTGGGAACAGGCAGCTGCCTGCAATTATTTCCCAACAGACAAATGTCTCATGGGGGTTTATTGCCTGTATTAGATATTTTTCTCTTCGCTCCACAAAGTCCAGGCCAGGCATCTCTGATTAACTCTGAGGTCTCCGGGTGCTTTCCAAGCCCTCTCTGAGTCAGGCAGCCAGCCAGAGTGCTGTGGCAGGCAGAAAGGACACAGATATGGAGCTTTTCTCCTACCAAGCATCGAATCTGGGTGTTCCAGGGCTTAGGGTAGATGCCCTGATGCAAAGGTGTTGGATTAGTGCTGGATCCCAAGCGGTGCTGTGCCCCCAGCCCACACAGCAAACATTGGCTGTCAGGCTAATCAAGATCCTCCTGTTAGTGCCATGTTTGTGCTTGGCCAGGCCAAGCTCGGTGCCTGGCACAGCCAAGGGGGAGGCAGGGGCAGTGCTGAGGAGGCCTCCTCCCCCTGTACCAAGTACCTTTTCTCTGCTGAGCCAAACCAAATTATATTCCAACCCCTCTCAGGTCACCATCAAAACCCGCTGCTTCCATTTCAGTCCTAGAGACTCCTCGTAGCATCATGAGGTGCTCAGAACTGTAGTGACGCCTCTGTGTGTGCTGCTCCTCCCCTAGGCACTGGTTGGCAGTCGAGTACATCTGGGTCCTGGTTCCCTACATGACCTACGACATCTATGTCATGTACCTCTGCCACTGGCACAAGAGCTGGGACAAGGGGATCATGGAGAAGAAGCACTCGCTGGCCAGCGTGCGGAGCTTCCTCCTGCAGGAGCGGCTGATGGTGACCCACCACCTCTTCATCCTCATCGTGCTCACCCCCATCACCCAGGTAAGAGCTGGACCTGGCTCCTGTGAAACCCAGCCAGCAAGGAGCCCCGGGTGGCTGTTTGCACATCTGGCAAAGGATCTCTGCTGGTCAGGAGCCTGCGACCTCACTGGGAGATGCTGGGGGCCAGCTTCTGGCCCCCTCTCCAGGAGGGCCCCACCTTCACTGCTGGCTTCATTTGCAGCACTTCAGGGGAGAGCTGGGGGACTTCTTCGTGGGCTGCATCTTCATAGCGGAGCTGAGCACACCTTTTGTGTCACTGGGCAAGATACTCATGCAGGTAAGTGAAGGATGGGGCTCAGGTCTGGAAACCCCTCCAGCTCATACCCCTTCCCTACCCCAGGCTGCCTTTCTCCGTCATGCCCTGTTCAGGCAGCAGCTGGGCTGGGGGTCTCAGAGCCCTCAGCTCCCCCATAGTGCTGTCCTCCTCCTGTCAGTAAGCAGCATGCCCAGGGGCATCTCCAAACCGGGGACTGTGCTGTGTCCCGGTGCTGCCCCCTCCTGCCTGTTCCTCCCTCCTGCCCCAGCCCTCACTTCCCACGCTTCCCTTCCTCTTCCATCCCTTCCCACCCTGCCCTCCAGTTCCCTCCATCACAGCCCAGGCCCTTGGCAGCCGCTCACCCACCAACTCACCCCACCTTCACCTTCTTCCTCCCCCAGCTCAAAATGCAGGACACGCTCCTACACAAGGTGAACGGGATCGTCATCCTAGTGACCTTCTTCCTCTGCCGCATCCTCCTCTTCCCCTACATGTACGTGGCCTATGCCAGGCACGTGGGCATCCCTGCCTACCTGGTGCCCTTCCGCATCCCCCTGCACTGCAACATCGCCAACGCCTCCCTCATCGCCCCCCAGCTCTACTGGTTCAGGCTCATCTGCCGCAAGGCTGCCCGGCTCTACGGCAGCTCCCCGGCCGACAAGAGCAGATAACAGCCCAGAGTGGGGCTGGAGAAGGCTCAGCCCCACCCCTGGCTCTTCCACCTTCACCGCCAGCACTGAGGGGACCGTGGTGGGAGCGGTGGGAGCAGCCGTCCTGCTGGGCTGCTGGAGCTGGAAACAGCCTGACTGTGCTGCTGTGCCAGCCTGGGCTAGGAAGGCTTTCTTCCCACGCTGCTCCAGTGCCTTGTGTCCTCCCACCCGTGGGAGCTGAGGGCAGGAACCAGCCAGGAGGTCTGCCCATAAGCACGACGTTCCCTCTGGGATTCAACGCAAGTAACGGTTACACGAGAGGGGTTTGTTACAGCCCCCCCTCCCCCTGCGCCTTTCAGGGCTGACACCAGACACCCATGCCCAGCACTGAGTGAGGGAGCCTGCAGCCTGGATCTGGGCGATGCTGGAGCACTCCCAGCAGCAGCGCCGAGCTCTGGGGGAGCCACATGCTGGACCTGCTGCAGCCCCAGCTCACTCCTCTGGCTCTGATTTGCAGCCTCCAGCTGAGAGCAGAGCCAGGCCCAGCACGGTTCTGCACAGCCTGCTCCTGCACAGCCCCTTCCTGACCTTCACTGACTTCACTCCTACACTACAGCCTCCATCAGCCTCTCACCTCCCTCGCCTGCAGGGCTCAGACTCACTGAAGACTCCACTTAACCCAAAGGTGCTTTTCACCACAACTGTCTGACAACTGTGACTGATGCTCCCCAGGGCGGGAGGGCTCCAGTGTCTCCAGAAGCACTGGAGGGGAGAGAATCTCATGCCAGGATAGAGGAACAGTTCTGTTCTCTCAGAGCAAGACTGGCAGGGCAGGATGGGGCCAGGCTCACCATGCACCGTGGGGTTCACCCACCTCCTCACAGGTTCGTGTAAGTCAGCAGCAGTTTGGTTCCCTCCCTGCAGCCTCCTCCTCCCTGCAGGTCCCCTGCTCCAGGGCAGGTACTGCACCAGCGTGGCCCCAGCAGCCCCCCGTGTCTAGAGACCTGTGGCCACCATGTGCCTTTCACTCTCTGAAAAGAAGAGCCAGAAGGGCTGAGGACCCAGTTCTTTCAGGTGTCAGATCTTATCCCGGCCATGGTTGAATTCTGGAAAGAATAAAAGAAAAGGGCTCTTCCTACACGCAGTCAGTTACTGCAGAAATACGACTGCTCCATGAACCATGGAGCCCAGCTGCTGTCATCAACTGCTTGCTACCCGTTACACGTGTTTGTATCTCGTTGTTTTCATTGCAAATCATGTGCCTTATGTAAGGGGGGGGGGAAAAAAAGCAAAGCCAACAAGGGCATCTCAGTTTGCACTAACACTGCCCTAGTTACTACTGCACATCTCAGGAGACCAATAAAGATTTCCTTTCTGAGTCACACCACAGGATCTCTCCCATGTGCCATTCATTCCTGGGCGGGGGCAGTTAGTGCTGCTGCAGCCCCAGCTCGGGACAGGAGCAGCACACACCTATTGCCAAAGGCACCTGCCTGTCCTGAGCTCACCTGACTCACTTTTCACGTGGCAAAAGCAGTGATCCACCCAGGATTGGGAGAGGGCTGGCAGCAAAGAAGCCAGAGGGAAATGATTTCCCTGATGCCACCAGGTGCTCTGTAAATCCAGCCTGCCAGCAGGCAGGGAGCTGGCAGCTGGGCACGGGGACAGCTGTTTGTGCAGCTCCTCCCAGAGTGGCTGAGACAGGTTGGGAGAAAACACAACGGGGGAAAAACAAAGTTGAAAATAGAAAGACAGGGTTTATTGCAGATCTTACAGCTTTTCCACGGACGGGGCTCCCTGTGGCAGGGTCTGTGCTTGCCCCTGCTGTGCTCCCCACCTCCTCAGGCCGGCTGCTCGGCCGAGCGGGTGCCCAGCTTGCTGAGCTTCTGCAGGAGGCTGCCCCGCAGTGCCAGGGTGCTGACACCCGCCACGGACTCCAGGAAGTGCCTCTCGTTGGCTCTTCTCAGCGCCGTGCTGGGGGACCTGTCAGCGCTGCTGAACACCTCGTACTGTGAGAGGATCTCCAAAGCCACCACCAGCAGCGGGTCGCTGCAGCCCCGCTCCGGCAGCATGGCAGCAACGTGCAGCAGGTGGCAGAACATCTGGATGCAGATGAAGGACACCTCCTGCGTGGAGCTCCCGAGTTCCCCTGCCACGCTCTTGGCTGAGCCCAGCAGGTCGGTCAGGCTGCTGCAGTACAGCTGGACCACGTGCAGCCAAGCCTCTGCCGGCAGCCAGGAAGCACAGCTGGAGCTGCAGAGGAGCTGGAAGCCCCTCAGGAAGAGCACAGAGCACTGGAGGTAGCGGGCAAAGGGCCGGAGGTTGAGCAGGGGCATGTACTGCACGTACTCCAGCGTGTAGGGCACGTGCAGGACTTCCCTCTGCAGCAGGTTTTCAACCACGTGCGTGAGCCTCTTCCACTCACTGTGGCTGCACCAAGGGAGGACCTGAATGAGGGCCACCAGAAACCCTTTGCTGAAGAGATTCACTTCCTCAGGGTTGTCCACGTTGACCGCGAGGAGCTCCAGCATGGTGTCCCTGAGAGCTGTGGACACGCAGCAGCACTCCATCCACGCCAGGAGGCCACTGCCTGCTCCATAAGCTGGCAGAGGCTGGGACGTCCACTTGTCCTCAGGAAGCCTGCAGATCTCAAACAGCGTCGCTGGGACCTCGTTCTTGAAGTGGTCTCCATACAGCTTCTTCAGACGGAGACCAATGGTCCAATCCAGTGATGCCACCTTCCTGTGAAGCCAAGCCAGTGACTGGACCCACAGCTCAGGGGAGGGGGCAGTCTCTGGCCTCACCACCTCACAGAGCTGGCAGAGGATGTTCAGTATCAAGTCCTTGGTCTCCAGCAAAGGGAAGAACTGGTCCCTAGGCTGATGCCAGTACTTTGTGTAACCATCTAGAAGCTTGCAGAGGCTGAGGAGAAGTGGGAATGGGTGGCAGGAGTTGATCCAGTGCTCTTCTGAACAGGACTGTACCCCTAAAACCTTACTGAGGATCTGCAAGCTCAGCTCAATCTGAGTAGAGTCTGACTTCAAATAGGGAAGGACAAAGGCTTTGGTCACATCTGCGGGTGTCACAAGCGGGGCTGCAGAACCTGGCTGCAAGAGAAAGGCCAGGAACTGAAGGAACTGCTCCTCTTCCCTCACAGTGGACAGCCTCCCCCACACTGCCTCCTCTAGACACCTCACCACCAGGCTGCACGGCTTGCCTGGATCATCCTGGGTCTCCAAGAAGTTCAGTGCTGGGAAGGAGGAGAGGATTTGTGCGAGGTAGTGGTGTGCTCCGAGGTTGATGACAGCAAGATGACAAATGTGCTTCACTGTGGCCTCGGGGTACAGCAGCATGAGCCTGGCCACGGAAGCCACAGCCCTGGTCAGGCCTTCATCAGACACACTCTTTGTGATCTGGTTAAAAGTCACATTCAGATCCTCCTGGAACTCCTCCATGACAACCTGCAACTTCAGGAACAGACCTGGTCCACCCCAGGATGCCAGAACACCTGAGATGACTTTGTTTTTATCAGCTAATGAAAGTTCAGTGTAGCACTCCACAACAGCTTTGGTCACTTGCATCTGCAGCTCTTGGGCCTCCTTGTCTTGGCAGGACATGGCAAAGTTCACCAGCGTGTCCAGCAATTTCAAAACCAGCTCCGGTTTCTGGAAGAGAGCTTTGTTTTTCACAAGGCAGTCAACCCAGTCCTTTGAGAAGGCCCAGGTCTTTTCAGAAGCAAAAATGGAGCACATCTCCATGTGCTGGTCCAGCTGCTGGTCAATGATTGTCATGGCAACTGAAGACACAAGGCTGGTGCCCAAATCCTTGCTCTTCAGGCTGGCACTGATCTCCTTGAGAAGGTCCTTGGTGAGCTGTGTCAGCTCTAACACTACCTGTGTCTCATTCTCACCCAGGTCTCTAGTCTCTGAGAAGCAATCCAGGCTCTTCCCAAGGGTGGTAAGTGTGTCCAGGAGCCTGTAGCTCTCATAGCAGAGCCCCTCAGAGCTGTTCAGGGTGTCCTGCAGCTCTTCTCCCCAGGCATGCAACAAGCTGCAGAGAAAGGCCAAGCCAGTAAAGAGCTCCTCACGAGAGAGCTTGGCCATGGATGAGAGGCTCATGCTTCTCTCTGCTTCCTTCACTTTCTCATCCAGCCCTCTGTGGTGGAACTGGCTTTCAGTGTCCCTGTTCCAGAGGCTGACCACAAAGCTGACCTTGTCCAGGTACTCTGCAACAGGGAGGGGGCTGCCCTCTGGCTCCAGCTCGGTGAACACAGACAGCAGCTCCACCAGGTTGGCCAAGGCATAGCACCTCATGCGGGGCTGGGTGATGCTCCCGTAGGTCTGTTTTAACCCCTCTACCAAAACCATGAGCAGGCTGGTGGCAGCAGGAGGGTCACTCAGAGAGCCAGGGTCACCCTTGAACCTCTTTGGGGGCTGGAGACCATCATCCTGAGAGGACTCACACCCGTGCTGACGTATGAGAGCGCTGAACGCAGACACTGTTGTGTCTTCCTCTTCCTCCTTGTGCTTCATCACCTCCCACCACACGTCCAACAAGAACCTGATGTCCGACGGGGAGGTCTCAGTGCCAACGTACTGCACCAGCTGCTCCAGCTCCCTCCGGCCCACGGCCCGGGGCAGCACCAGCA